CACACACACACACCCCCAACCCCCCCTGTCCCATCTCAGAAATACTCCTGGCTCTACTCTAGCTCTTGTGCATCTTTCCCACCCTTTAATAAAATTGTACCTTACAGGGTGTAATTCTGGTCGGTGTTTGACACCACTTACGTACCCTTTGTCTTTCGAAGTCCATTCGACTTGCATTACGATTAACAATGATGCTCCCAGCATTACCCACGATAGTAGCGAACATCAAGACACCGCATAAATAACAGGCGATGGTATAAACATACCTTTAAATCAAAAATATGCAAGTTAAATTATAAATGTATAATCAATGCTTTAGGGGCCGTAACACAATGAAGTGGAAAATAGAAACTCTAAAGCCCCCTTTACACTAGCGATTTTCGCTGCGACTTTTTTGCTATTTTGTCCATAATAAATAATGGTAAATAATTTACTTGTAAAGTTTTTTTCAGGATATCAAGATTTTCCTAGACGACTGTCTCTTTTCGGAAGGATGAGACAAAAGCTAGATTTCATATTTCCGAAAATTGCCACAAAAATCGCCAGTGTAAACGGGGCTTTAAACTTAATTTCTGTGCGTATAATAGACGTGTCCGCTTAATAAAGGTTCATCTTACAGTCAATACAGTGCAAGGCACCTCGATATCTTCAAGGCTTATCGTTGTGTCCGCTTAATAGAGGTTCGTTTTATTGTAAATATTGGGGAATAAAATTCTGGGGCCTCGAACAGCTGTCCGATTACTAGAGGCTGTCTCCTTAATAAGGGTTTTGTCTGTATTTCAAACTATTTTACAATATATGTATATACAATGAGAAACTTTCAAAAATTAAGATCCAATAATTTACTATAAAGTTTGATCGACTGGCAAGCCTTTATATCCCCCATTATGTAGTTTTTTTTTCTTTTTTTAATCGATTGTTGACCGAGAGAAAATGAGGTTTAGTCATCATGTAACCAAACATTTTTTCGAGCCCTGAAACAACTGAATCGTGCTAGAGGGCTAATGAGCTCTACTCTCATGTCCGGCCATCAATCTAGTTTTTTCCCCAGAGGGGCCATTACTAGTACGAGTACTTCGGTCTTGACCAAGTGCTTTAAGTATACACATACTCAAAAGGCTAGGAGTACCCTTATCCGACGATGCAGTTAGATTAATAACATGGATAGGATTTTTTGCTATTATAAACCTTTTTGTTATCACACAGATCAAAGTAATTATGTCATTTCTTCAAAAAGAATGGTGGAGCCGTTATAACCAAAGAACTGGTTTATTTACTAGCTGAAGTAGTTTTTGAGTGCACTAAAATATCTATACCAGCTAAAGATGCATTGATATCTAAAACCTTCTAAAAGCTTTTGGTGATTTAACACTTTGCTGTTGCTATTACTGTTAAACAACGGACTTATACTCCAGGTCATACCCGTAGTGAAATTGGAAAACCTTATCTTTAAAGCCTGTAAACTGAAATCAGATAAGATGGTCGGACTTCGTCGAAAGCGAAACTGAGAAGAACCAAGATGGCGCTTTCGATTCTTGTGTTATTTGGAACTGACTCTCAAAACTATCCTTGATGGCTGATATGATAAAATGGAAAACCTCACTTTCAACCAAGAAAAAGGGATTTTTTGTGTGATTTAAAACTAAAAGCCATCCAGAGAAAACTAGCTACACATGCTTATCTTTGATCTTTTGTAATCTCGAGATGGAATGAAATTTCTCTTTAGCATTAGACATGAGCATCTTGGAGATATTCCGCGATAGAAATCTAAAAAACCATCGCGAGAAATGCCATTATTCTAAATAGAATGCGCTGATCAGAAACGATCTGTAGAGGATATCTGCATGTCGGATGTTTGATGTCGGAAGATTCTGTCGTTTTTTTCTTTTATAATTTTTATTTACAAAAAGATTCATGACAACATGATAACTATCAACAAAAAAGAAAAAGGGTTCGACGGCTGAAAGATTCTAAGACTGCACCACAAAAGATAAGCACAAAAGCACAAAAAATAAGACCTTAACAAGGATGAAAACTGATGTTAGTCATAACGATAATGACATACGGCCAAGAACAAGACGAACTGACAAGAAGCAACCATCTGTACGGACTGACAAACCAACCAATAACAAGCGACCGACCAATCAACAAATAAACAACAGTTAAAGAGACATGCAGTGATAAAGCAAACCAATACCAAAAGTACGTCAAACAAGCAAAAGGCTAAATCTGCATAAGCACAGTTCTAAGCCAATAATTAAAATAAAATCAGAAGAAAAAAAATAACAAAACAACAAAATAAAGTAAAAGATTTAAAGAGAGGCAAAAATCAACATAACGTCTAACTATATGGTTCTGCATGATCTTTCGTAGTCTTTCTTTTTGCTTCGCGGTTCCCTAGCTAATTTTCTTAGTTATTTGCAATATTGTTCTCTTTGTTTCTTTTCTTTTTCCCCGATTTTTCTCCCAAATTTTACTTAGAAAACAATTTATAATACTATCCTGAATCGAGAAGGTATCCATTTGCACGTTTTGGCCCAAAATGTTGTATAGCAAAACATATAGGTTTTATTCTGTCTCATGAATCTTCTATCTAATATAACTAAGGTACAATATTGGACGCCCTGTTAACGATATTACCTCGGCTGATTACCACTCATGTGATCATGAATATTGATCAACAAGGCTTTGATCCAAAAATAAATGCAGCCTTGACGGATGGAAGAAAGAAAGAAAGAAAGAAAGAAAGCAAGAAAGAAAGAAAGAAAGAAAGAAAGAGAGAAAGAAAGAATTAAATAAACAAACAAACATACGATAGTGAGAGGCAGATGGATGTATTTATCGGTTGCCAGGTTCTCAAACTCTTCCCTAAACACGACAAACATCCAGTATTAATAAAATGTACCATCACTCAGACAAAAGCGGCAGTATCTTAATCTCATCAATCGTTTAAAAATACCATTTACGTTTGTCCTTAACTATTTCTGAGTGTCAATATAATCATGATTATCTTAGTTATATACCTATATTATATTTGCATTAAGAATGACAAGCGCACCATTTGTTCCAAGGTAAATTATATTATTTCAAGAGATCTTAATTCAGGGACGAATCTTCGGAAAGCGCTTCGTTAGTAAAAAAAACATAAATCTTTTTCCTCGATATGACAAAAACACTAATTCTAAATGATAAACTGTTTTTAGATTTGTTTTAAATTGTTCATGATTGCAAAAAGATGGTTTTTCTTTCACACCAAGCGAGACAGCATGGCGGCTTGTTTGTTTAGTTCATGCGGAAAATAAACCAAAATTTACTGCAATTTTCACCCATGCCTCCAATGTCTGTGGATTATTTTTCCCAAAGGCAACACTCGGCAGCTAGCGTGAACATCCAAATAACGCCTTCTTTTCATTTCAAACTTCATTCAAAAATTAAGTTTAATTCCATTGACGTTGTTGGCTTATCATCATTTCGGCCGGATTTCCTCTTTTTCTAATATGAAATTAATTCTTTTGTTTCCTAAATATTGACAGCCATTTATTTTTCACAGTACTGAAATCCTCTTCTGCAAATCTTATTACCATTGAAAACGTTTTGAAATAGGAGCAATTTCCAACTTTTTCACACCGTCTAAATTTGCTACCGGACTGACTTTATTTGGTTCTGAATGCTTTCGAGTCTTCTTAGTTCCAAAGTCTATAAGCCGTGAACTAAGCCCTCTTCCATTTGTAGGCTGCCGAGAGTTCCTTAGAAAAGCGAGTTAATCTTCAAAAGCCTCATTCGAAAACTGAAATGATATAGTCAGTCTTTTTTTATATTATTATTACACATTTAATGCAGAGGGTTTTTGATTTAAAGCGGTTGATAGATTAATAGTTATTGACACTATTTTCGCCTTTTTAAAGCACCTTTTAACTTCAAACTAACTAGATTTTTCTACCGAAAGATCTCATTGTGAGCGCGCCGCTAACAGCGGTGGGGTTGTCGAATAAATTAAAGCCCTTCGTAGAACTGGTATCGCGCTAAAATAGATCTTAAAAGAACATTTGTTGTTCCACAATATCAGTAAACAATTCTGTTATGTCGATACATAATAGGCTTAAATAAACAGACTCAAAATATTCGTAAGTGCATGGTGTTTGTTCATGCAGACCCCAAAAATTTAAAAAATAATTGCTTTATTTATTGTCTGTTTTTATCGCCAAAATCAAATAGCTTCGATAATAAATTTGTTATAAATTGTTGTTTTTGTTGTAAATGATAAACGCTCTGTAGTTAAAACAACAGAGTTTTCTATTCCATCTTTAAAATATCAGATAATTAACACTCCTATTGCCGCGTTGTAATTTCAATCAGCGGTGATCCAACTTTCTCCAGTTTAACCTGAACTTCTGGTTTAACTAGTCCGCAGACTTAGATAGTAGCACTCCTCTTCTCCTCGGCTTGTTTGCTTACTGCTTTTCTATATGGTTGCAATCAGTCATATTTGACAGTTTAAAAAATATAATCAATATTTTTGGAGGCAAATAAGATTAGAACAAACTATAAAAGCATGCAATGATTAAAAAACCAACTAGATGAAAATTCGTGTGTTTCACCTGCAAAAGCAATTCTTTAATTACTGTTTAATAAGGAGTGTATTATCAGTGCAGGAGTGTATTATCAGGTTTAAAACCACGAGGCGTAACCAAGTGGTTTTAACAACGATTTCAAAAATAAAAGTAAAAAATAAGAACGTTGAGTTGAGTTTTTACCGGGCATGAAGATCCATGCACGTGATGGATTTGAAGGACGTGATAGGTCTAAATGCTCATTAGCTATTCATGAATTTTTGAATCCACGTTAAAGCTGAACAAAAGGGTTCCTGCGAGGAGTAATAAAAAGTTGAACACCTTTATCTTGCTCGAGGCTTCATTATCCTATTAAAACTACCTATTTTAATTCAGGGCTAGCGGCCTACTATGCAATCAGTTTTGCCTCAAGTAAATGTATCTAAGTGTCCCTTTTTTGATTTGTCATTTAGTTCCGCCGACTACTGATTGCTACGCAATATAATTTCCATCACCAAATAAAATAGTTTGATAGCAAATTTCAAGAAGTATGAAAGCTTAGTTTGTGCTGTGCGTACGATAAATAGTAAAATATACGTTATCTATTTATTAGCAAAATCTCAGAATTCAGTTTTTAAAATAATTTTTCTTCAAGCATTCAATTTCTTATTTAATTTAATTTATTATTATTTGACCGTTTTTTTAATTATTATTATTATTATTTTTTAATATAATTGTTAGAAGTCGGTTACGTGTATTTTGGGTGACCCTTCCTTGCACCAGGGTCACCCTAGCTTCGCGTGTAAACTTAAATATATATATTTAAATTTATGCAGCACTATACTTACTCGACATTAGTAGCAGGTGACGGTAGATCCCCAATGGCGGTCAAAGTCAGAGTTGACCAGTACATAGACTTGAGATATTGTTGATAAAGAGAGCCATTCCCGGGATAGACCCATTTGTTTGTTCCAAAACCTTCAGCACGTGAGATCATAATGTAGATTCCAGCGTTCCAGTTGATCAGAAGAAACATTAAGTGTAACAAGAAAAAGACTCGAAAAAATGTTGGGTAGTTAGTGTGGGACTCCATGAGAGCTTTGACTTTGATACTTTTGTACGACTTGATTAAACGATTCAGACGTAACATTGGGACGCTTTCTGGATATACAACATATAGAATATCCGTCGGCAGCAGCGATAGCACATCAGCTATAAATCGCTTGGACTTGATGTAAGATCTAGCTATACATCTTGTGTTAGTCACTAAGATCCCTTCCTCGAGAAATCCAGTTCGAAAAGAGATCAATAGATCCAAGAGATAGATCAAATCACACAAATAATCAAAAATAAGCCAAACTATAGTAAATTCTTCCTGTGCTCTGGGAAATGCTATTCTAAGTATGAGTACCCAGAGATTGTATCTAATGGCAAATACAATAAAGAAAGACCAGACGTAGATACAACGTCCATCCGGTGCGAAAATCTTGGGTATTTCACGGCATAAAGCTGTGTATCCTACGTCAACATCGTAGTAGTTGGATGCATCGCTTTCCAGTTCTTTGCTATCTATTTCTATAATCGTTTCAGGTTTGATCTGTTGATTACTGTTTGTGCTTCCCAGAGATATCTTCTGAGATGCCTTGGAAGATTTTCTTTTCGGAGGAGTAGTTTTGCGGTTATCAGAACGTGTGCTGAATTTCTGAATAAAAGGATCAACCGTTTCTCTCGGTGTTCTCCAAATTGATTTTCTACGAGTTTTAACAGGTTTCACAGCGTTCTTCATTAACAATACTGTACGAACTCGTTTAGTTACCTTTTGCCAGCGTTCTTCCTTTTCCTCCTCGTCTTGTCCATCTTCTATGCTAATATGACTTTCTAAAGTCGAGAGGTTTCCATTCTGGTTAACAGGTTGTTCGCTAAAAGGTTCGCCTCTCGTTGGCTGTCCAAGCTCTTCATCCTCAAGTGCAACACAATTTTCAAAATGAACTGTTCGTTCTGTCATTCTGTCAATTTATAGGGTTTGCTGCTACGATCAATCGATGGCAAAACTGCATTTATACATGTTATAGCACTGTTATAATACTGAAGAAGACTCGTAAGCTCTGTCGTATAGCTCTACCTGTGAAGAAAAATATTCAAAACATGGCAACCTTGAAGTCGTTAGCTAGGCAACCAAAAAAGTCTAAATTACACGAGAAGGCTTCTAGTCTCTTGCGCCTGAGTTAAACTGGTCAAAGACTTTGTCGTTCAAAAATCCAATGCAGCCCCAAGGTAGTTTGAGCTATCAACGGCGCGCCTGAGAGAGAATGAGAAAAAAAATCAATGTTCGGCACTGTTTCCAAGGATTATTAGTACACTCACTTTCAGTAGTCCCTTATGATACCGTCATTCGTATGGTCCAATAACTTAAAACTGCAACTGACAGCACTGATTAATCAAATTGACTTAATGAATGACGTCGTGTTTGGGGATGGATTATATCGGCTGGTGAAATAAATAGTCAGCATCGACGATCTCGTTTCAAGTCATCGAACTCTTAACGCGCAAAAACGTGTATTTTTTATTGATTCTGAAGACAAAACGTCTGCCAAATTGACACTAGTGTGATACTCTGTTTTAGTTAACTATAGTTAATCGATTATTTAAGTGTTGTATGAATTAATAATGATATAAAACCTCGAAACACTAAATCACACTGTCGTCATACAGCCATTAAAAAAAGCAATTGTACACAAATTTTCTAAGTATCGCAGAAAGCCGGCATTTTTAATAAATTTTCCGAGGTAAAAGCGAACATAAATGACCTATATCTGACAGTGGTTAATCATAAATTTAGATTTTCAATTTACTTGGATCAATCTTTTGTAAACCTATAATAACTGACCTGTCAGATAGGCCTGAAAATAGAGATAATTAAAGCATTCGGTTAAAACAGATTATAAAATGCCGATGGGAAGCGCGTGCGCTGCTAATGCGCCACCTTCGCCAGCCTCGGTGTCGTTTTGAGTACAGTTGTTTGTTGGTTCTCTCCTGTACTTCGAGAGCTTTTCCTCCTTCTAAATTCTAATTCGATCTCATATCTTATGAATTGAGTTACAAAACCTTTTAGGCCGGTATCACGCCGTCCATCCAGAAGTGGTAAATGCATTAGAAATGTCATTTTCGCTCAAGATAATGAATAGAGTATTTGATTTAAGCGATATCGGTGGAGTTCCGGTTTGAAGTTTTCTATTTAAGACCATACGAACAAGCGAAAAATACATAAAATAATAAATAGAAAAAATGACTACGAAGTAAGTAAGTGTCAACTATGTGTTGTTTATGTCTAACATATTAATTGAAAAGGAAAAATTGAAAAAGATAAGAAGAATGAAGAATTAGAAAAGAAAAAAAGAAAAAGAAAAAAAAAACAAAAACAAAAACAAAAAGAAGAAATAATTTTAAAAATGTAGGGACAAAAATTATAAATTAGAAAGCTATTTAAAAATACTCTGATTTTTTCTAGAGTTGTTGTGTTTATTATTAGCGTGCTTATCTTCACCCAGTAAATAATACTGAATAAGAATAGGTTGAAGATCGACAGTATTATCTAAACCTGTTTTTTCGAAAATTCCAAAATTAATCAAATTCTGTGTTGCATATCATCACGTATTGAAGTCAAGGACTGGAGGCGTTTCATTGGAGGAAATGAAATAAAAGGGACAAGATCGACAAACACGAATATTAATATTGTTTAATCAGTGCTTCTTAGTATGAAAGGAAAAAAGAAAGTAGTTGATAAATATTAATATCTTTGTATTCAGTTAATCAATGAAGTATATGATAATCTAATTTTGAGGTTCTTTGAATGCACCCAGCCGAGACAGGCCGCAAATTACGCGTAAAGAGCCTTTCTTTTCTATTCTAAAATAACACTAGTTTAAATATACCAAAATAGTAAATTCAATACCTTACTTCCTGTTTACTAGATTCTAAGATGATTCACCACTTATTTTTAGACGTTCTGGTGTCATTGTTTCCATCATCTAAATACAAATATTTTCTTCATTGGAAGTCTTTTCTTCTCAGTAGTCTTGAGTATTCTAGTTCACATCGATCAGTACTTTGTTGATAGTCCTTTCTCGTTCTTAAGCGGCGCCGATCGCCGAATGTCAACCGTCAATTATTCTCTAGTATTCACTACATGGTCGAACCAGGCAACAAATGACTGACAGATTAAAAGCTTGATTAAGTCTCTGTTTATAGATGCAATTAAGGCAGGTGTAAGAGAATGGACGCGTGTCACGTTGAAGTCTTTCACTTTGTTACCACTGATCCATATTCAGCTAGAGTCAACGAGTACAGCAGGTGTCACAAGGCTGCCTAGGTGTAAGAGATTGGCCGACAGTCCCGTTGTCTTTTGTGATGACCGATCTATTTGCTACTAATATGATACCCTTCACTTGCTCAGCGGGAGGGAGAAGGGAAAAAAGTACTGTTCAAGTCTTTTTTCGGTCCATTTCTCGTCATTTACTAAATAGCTGCTCGTTTTGCAGTCAAACCACCTAATGCGTTCCTATGAAGGTTCAAAGATTCAGTTGATTATTGGGAGTTTGATTTCCATCCTGCTCCGAAACCTGCATTAATGAAACGAACGTTGTAAATTTGAATCCCGGCCTTTACCTCAAAACATCAGTATGTTCATTTGTGAAAGAACTTTTTGAACAAAACAATACACCACACTAAATAACTCTAACTATGGTAGCTACAATTGTGATGATTTTAGCCCTGCACGAATCTCAGGTGAAGACATAAACGTTTACAGCATTTGTTTCATTAATGCAAGCTTTAAAGAAAGATGGAAATCAAACTTCGAATAATGAAATGAATATTTGAACCTTGATAGGAACGCATGCTCTGAATCAGTATGCAAATTAGTCAAAACATATGTAAATTTGACTTTCAAACATGCCTGATAAATTGGACTTCACAAAATGCCAAAACTTAGTGCTCATGCTTGAAACTTAAGGCTAATTCTTTCATATTGTGTTTGCTAATACAGTATCTTGGTTTGACAAAAGTAAACTCTTGAACTTTTTTGTATACTTAACAATAACTTGCAGAAGAAAACAAACAATTATTTTCTCACTCACAAACTCTTCAAAATTCTTAGAAAACGTACACATGCGCGAACGTTTTTCTTTAGTGTCATGAGCTGGTTTGACTGTAAAGGGTAGGATCACGTGACCTGTTAGTGCATGTCATCTATACTGATAAAATTCAAACATATATTGATAATTGTGGTGTTCTTTATGCTCAATTTTTGGTCACTTACTTAATCTTCTTATTGTATATGAAATAATTTTTCTAAACTTTCTAACCTGCTTCAATTTCATATCTTTCTGATGACACAAATCTGTTTTTCTTAAGTACAAGTCTCCTCCGTTTTGAGAACCAGCTGCATTGAACAAATACTGCTGTCCCAGCAAAACTAACTTCACTCTTTTCCATTCTCCGAAGAAACTCTTAATCATCTACAGTCTCAAAGAATATAAATGAACCAATCAAACAGGTGCAAAAGAGTCAAATATCTTGATATCTGTCTTTACTCGAATATCTCTTGGAATCCACGCCTTTTTGAAGTTTCTACTGAAGATCAATTAAAGCATTGGTATATTGATGGTATTAGCAAGGGCTTCTAGGCTACTCCCAGTTCCACTATGACTGGTATCGCCGGTAGGGACAGAAATTCCGCTAGTTAGCATTTCATCACGTTTTTGGATTGCAATCTCTCAGATTAACCTCAGACTCGTAATCTTTGCGCGAATTTAGTTGATCATTTAGCTTATCCAAGGTATTTTCGCAATTTGAGACTTAACTCAAACTCCTCGATTGGTAGGAGATCATTTGACACGGTAGGTCTTGAATTGAAAGAGCTAGGTTCGACGTCTACGCTATCGTGGTCAGAAAGACCAAAAGGAGGCAGCTTTTTTGGGACAGCATTTAGCAAGAGAATATTAATCATTAGCATATATTAGAACGCGCGCGATCATTGGTTAATTGGAGGTGAATATTGTACGATATTCACCTCTGAATCTCGGAATATTGAGTCGGCAACAAAATGGCATCTGCCGGCAATCGTTTTGCTACAATTTCCGATGAGGAAATTGAAAAAATGAAAGTAAATGCCATTTCTATCAATACTAAAAAGGCAACAAAGTATGGCCTAAACGTTTTGCTAAAAGTTTTGCGTGAATAAGTTATTCTGTACACAAGTTGGTATATGCTAAAACAATTATTCGCCTCAGGCTCAGTGAATATGGAGAATATTTACCTCGCCTCTCGAAGACTCGCGTCTCGGTAAATATTCCCCTTATTTAATAGATAATTACTGAGGCACGCAGCATTCGTAGGTATAATGCAGGCAGCTGAGGGCGTAGCCCGTACCTACGAATGCTGCGTGCCGAAGTGATTATCTAGTATAATTATTGATCTTATCAAAATCCAATTGTTTTCTTTCTAGCTTGTTTATCATAGAAACAAAGCCAATAACGAATGTCTGATTTTCCTCTATGCATTCGTTGGGATAATGCAGACTGAAAACAATGGATTTTGATAAGATCAGTAATTATAAATATTCACTTCGCCTTCGGCGAATAATTGCTAAATATTCTCTTGCATATAGCTAGCTCATATTTGTAACAAGGGCCCCGAATTGGTGAAATGGGAGCTGGGATTTCCCTGTTTGTGCTGGGAAAATGGTGAATGTGATAAACAAAACAAAAAACAATTAAAAAAATGGGAATGGGATTGAGATTGGAGCAAAAAATAGGCTGTGACTATGGGATTTGGTAAAAATGGAGTTGCCTTAAAGCAAGCCATCTATTAACTTGGTCGTTTCGATTGCTTACAATCTTCGTTGATCCAGCAAGGACTCATATTATAATTAATATTACCGTCTGCTGATAGCAATAATATAAATAATGCCGTCTGCTAAAATAGCTGACAACATTTCTAATAATGCTCTCAACGATTGTTAATATATTTCAAAAAAGGTTGGTGAAGATTTTGTTGTACTTTGCATACCAAGCCCGGCGAATTGCTCTATAGGCGATGTGAATTCAATCAGCGAAAGATCACAACAATCATCCTCTGTAACCATGAACTTCTGCTGTAACCCAGTGGTAAAATTCTGTCGCTCGTTTCGCGCTCAGAATTTTATCACCGGGTTACCGAGGATGCATTACAATATGAAATTTTCCTAAACTTCGTTTGCGCGTTTTTCCGGGCATAATTTCTTCTCTACTTCTTCTCTTGCTTACTAACTTTGAAATACATTTCAAGCTTATTAAGCAAGATGCAACTTGCAACAAAACCTTTGCCAGCCTCTTTAGAACTGAATATACCTGTAGTGCAGAGAGTAAACAATAGGCTGTGACATTGAATAGTAATTATTTTATTATGGTAGACTCTAATCTCATTGAAAGTAGCTATATAATGTCCCGGTTATTCCACCAATCACGATCCCTGAAAGTATCATGACATCGCTATCTTATCTTTCAACATAATTTTTTAAACTATCTTCTCATAGTTTTCGGTTGCTACTTTTTTATATAAAATAACTAATTTTTATAGATTATTGAGGAGCAATAAATTTCTCTTCCTTGAACAACTTTTGCCATTCGTCGCCATTAGGGAACTGGTATCCATTCAACGACTGATTTTTCATCTCCGCGCTGTACCCAGGAGCCTGGAAAGAAACGTTTTACAAAGCGCGGATATATTTATTTTAAGAAAATATGTACGCACAAATCATATGAACGATCGGCCAATGACCTTGCCAAAGTCAAAGAGATCAATGTTATCAATGTTGCGCCGCATCCCTTCTTGCGTATATATTGTATACAGTATATAGGCATGAAACCATAGCAAAGTAAAAACGTGCCGTTCAACAGGAAGCGAAGAAGTGCCGTGAAGTTATGTAACTTTTTCACTGATTGACTGGTGATCTCGCCGTGCTGTATCACAGTCATGTCAAATGCACACTATCGTACGCTATATAGTATCGTAATACAATCATTCTGTAATCATGTACTTACCATAGGAACAACGTACTGGCCATTCTTAGTATTGACGGGATAAACAAAATGTTCGTGAAGATGATCAGCGTATTCGATAACCCTGTAAACAAAAACAACATAACAGGTGCTGAATACAACCTCACGGCTTTTTATCATTAGCATATTTCATGGTTCTGTAGTCTATGGCAATTAATAATCCACCAAGTTTTTTTTCGATGTTTACAACCGGTGAAAGCCTTACTGCACTGGATGGTCGGACAGTAATGAATAGTCATCATCAAACAACTTCCGACAAAAAAAAAAGATAACGACAGCAATCGGCAAATAGAGTATGAATATTATTTACAGAAAAATAGCGCTTGTTCATTGTATAGTATTCATTCTTATTTGTAAAGAATGAAAGGCTCTGCCGAATTCCACTGCCACGTATTCTTGTTGGTCAATAAAGTAAAAATCAACCATGAAATATAATTTCCAAATTGCCGCTGTGTTCCTTGATTGCAGACTCACTCATTTACAAATACCCGTGGTAACAGCAAATAAACAATGCACAACTTCAACAATGCAAGCACTTTGAAATTTCCTGACTTTCACTGGAACTATTTATATTATTGCAAAAAATCGAGGCTTATCCTAAGCAACAGAGAACTGGTAACTGGAGTATTGGAATTTTAATTGAAAGAGCGCAATACCCGTCCGTCTGCCATTTTCTATGTATCTCTATATGGTAGCTTGTACTTTACCTCTTGTCTAGGGAGGCCGAAACACAAATAAAGTCAAATATGGAGATGTGTTGAACGTATTCGCATAAACCAACACCACCCGCGTGTGGGCAAACGGGAACTGAAAATACAAGTTGCAATAGAATGTGATAAATAAATGACAAGAAAAACATCCAACACAGGGAACACGAATACGTGGTCCACCACAAATAGAACGATAGTGAGTTTTGTTGAAATGCATGGTAATTCAATTAATAATAATCTTTCTTTTTCTCGAGGGGCAGCACTTAATTAATTAATTAATTAATTAATAAACAGTCAGTGGCAGAATCCTCAACTTTTGTATAAATAATAATGTAATAATAATAAAACTATGAAAAAAATTTAAAAGACACGAAATAAAACCCTTGAACCAGAGAGAACCAAGAAGATCGAACCGGGATGCAATAGCATGAGTACACCAACACTGCATTTTACAGTTCCACATTTTACAGAACTGTAAAATGGAATATTCTGGCGCTAGTGCTTTCCAAACAGTTAAATAAACAGTTACTCATCTACTTTTCGCAATCAGCTTACCCCCAAACTTTGCAGCCATCAGAAGAACCGACAGGATCTCGTTTAGCCCTCCCATTCTACAACTGTCTATTTGACAGAACTGCATCCCCCCTGCTTGAAGAAACTGCTTGAACATAACGCGATTCTGACAATGTTCTCCAGTAGCAACACCAATCCCATACGGAGCTAAGGCCTTCGATATAGCAGCATGACCTAACACGTACATTAATTCAAATGAAAACGATTTACTCTATTGAGAGGAGTTCAGTTGAGGTTTTGTCACTTGTCAGTCCTATAATACTGTAATACATACATATCATACAACCGGGGTTTGTGACAAGAATAAAGCATCATTAGTGACCATGGATCTTACTCACGCAGCGGCTATCTTTATTCTCATGACAATAAGAACCTGTATCATTCAAATGATAGTTGTTTCCGTCGCTGTGATTGGCCTAGATAACTGCCCAAAAAAATAATCTGCTCCTGCGCATTACAGTGCAAAGACGTTTTGCTGCAAATAATAGTCTGCTCATTCGCAGTAACATTGCATTTGTCAACATGTTGCTTCCCTGTAACTTGGTATGCTTGATAGATAGCAAAAACAACCAAAGAACACAAAGAAAAACGGGGAAAAATCGGAAAAAATACATATATTGAACTCGGTTATCACAAAATATCGTGATTCGTTAGTGTCTCGCAAGCAAATATTTGTCTTTGCCTTCGGCAATTAATCGCTCGCTCGCCACTAACAAATCGCTACATTTTGCCCGTCCATTAATTGCTTATTGTTTAACCCGCATAAATTTATTCTAAAACACTAGAATACGATGCTACGCCTGGGAAAATCTACTGTTCCAGTGAACATGGCTGTCACGTGAGTAAGGCCCTTTACTAGTCATGCTCGGTAAAATCAATTGACTCTTTATTAATTTGAGGAACGACAAGTGATTTTCACTGTGCAAGTAAATACTGAGTTTTACCTAGGACATCATCAGGTGAAGTAGGTTCTTCAATCCAAATTGGTTTAAACTCTGCTAATTTCTTCATTGTGTCGATAGCTTCACCGACATCCCAGCGCTGATTAGAATCCATGGCCTGTATGAAATGACATGAAAAAGTAACATTAATGACGATCACTGAAAATAAACAAGGTATGCCGTGTGGAATATTCGTATTGGTATCAAATGTTTAGCACAAAGCATGATGGGAAATCGAAGACTTAAAGCTTTTTCCGGCTCGTTTAAAACTTTATCTGACAATTTTTCTTACTTTATAATTAGGAAGTAGGAAGTATCTATCCCTTTATGTTATTGAATCGTTAGTACACTGATGACATACTTTTATAACGAGTAAAGTTGATTCTTGGAATAGCTTTTTATATGACCTTCAAGATACTCATATCGCTAAACCGCAGATAGTACAAAATGCTTCAGCTAGACTCATTATAGCTTTACCTCGTAGTAGTGTCTATATGGGTAATCGACTTAGAAAAAAATACTTAGAAAGTTATGTTTTATGACTCGTTTTATGCTGCAAATTCAGTTTCAGATTCAGTTTGCTGGAAAGAAAAACCACCTTAAACTTTGCGCACCAAATCGTTTGCGTACAAGTTCATTTAATTTTTGTTTGGAGTTATGTAGTGCAAGCATAATGTGCAGTAGCGAAGGGTCCCGAACTATCTTAAGAGAATCGATAGGTTCAATAAAACTAGTACATGTAATAGAGGTCTGATAGACTGTAGCATCATAGAAAAGCACTCAGAGTGGGCAGGCAAAATAGATAGGCGACGCATTCCGACTTGGGAAATCTCATATACTTACAAGAAATCTTTCAGGCCCTAAAGTTTTCCTAAGAATTCTTGCTCTTCGTATATCATCTTGAATATCACCTCCAACCTTCATCTTAAACCTTAAAAATATAATGAAGTTTAGTCGGGAAAGAGCTTCCACCAATTACAACATAGTATTTGCACGTGAGGACCCAGAATTATGAAGTTCAGCAGAGAAACAAGTCCCGAACCTAAGTTACAAGGACGATCTTTAAAATATTTCAAATTCTACGTTTTCAGATAACATATTATTCATTTCGCACTCTTGACAAAGTTTATTCTTGGCAGTAACGTGGTAATAAAGTGAGCGACTAGTAAAGACCTATCTTGGATGAGTGGATCTAGTGACACACATCCTTCATTGCAGCTTGTCTCAATTTAAAAGGCTCGCTCCTTTTTAAGCAATTATGCATTTACAGATCGCAAGAATAAACAACGTATACAACAAAATTATGTGAAGTATGCGGTAAAACGAAAGAAATGCGCCCAACAAGATGCTCTGTCGACCTACTGTCGGCCTTGATCCGTAGACATCCTACAATTATTCGACACTTCTCCTTTTTTTCGTTATTGTCAACCAAGATGGCGGCAATGACGTAACATTCACATTCTCTATACTAACCGACTAATTCCAAGCTATAAAGCATGGGGGTGGGGGGTGGGGGCACAAAATGTAGAAGACGCACCTTTTGCTAAACTAACCAACTAGTTTCAAGCTGGGTAGAGAGGTCACGAGTACCCTAGGACCACCCCCCCCCCCCCCCCGCCCCCGTAGATACGCCCGTGTGATGTATAGTGGTAGTAACTCGTGCCCAGGTAGAAATGGGCGGCACAAGTAAACTGTCATCAAGGCCGAACTCAGAGGACATGCAGTCACCAAATAATATTAACTATTATACTGATAATTACATTTAATTGTAATTACACTAATAATTAATTAGCCTGTATTACTGAGACCTTTTGGAATTCAGCTTTAGCCTCACCCCAGTCACAAACTTGTTAATATAAAGTGTACCTTGTCCAGCCATTCTGCATAAAATTTGTGCACAGTTCTTCAATCTGTTGATCCGTATATCCAATCCACCCTGCTGATGTGGTGTATGCTGGATAACCTGTGTCCAACAGCTGCTTCTCTGGAAAGGAAAGTTTATCCATAACCATGAGTGTGACACATTTTTTACTATAGTCTGTTGGCATTTGTTTAGTGAATCAAGAGTTTAATTATTTTAGCAAACATGCAAGCCTTCTTATTTTCATTGGAAATCTCGTAAATCCATTACTCGCAATTTCAGATGAAACATTATTCATCGTGGAAATAGTAATAAATTATAAAAAAWTATTCATTTGTCTCAAGATTGAGGTTTATTTGTAGAAGAACCACTACGTTGAATCATCCGGCTGTGATCGATTGACTTTGCGAGTTTACCAATGGGGGTTTTGATCTATGCATTCAACATCCTTCTAACCAGGGTATTGATGGCACTGACCAGTCTTGTGGGCGTGCACTACTGCTGAGCCCTCTGATCGGGCCAACCGCCGGTACATCTCTCATGTACTCTTTATTCTTTCTTAGACTGGTCTGCAGCAGGGGATCTTGTAGAAAACCACTGGGTTTTTGGGGCGCACCTGGTAGCTACATAGTGTAGTTTCTGATTTGAAGACAGTTTGTATGCCATGGCCTTGAAGGCAACTGAGCGGCTTGGGGTCTGAGACTGAAACCTCTTCTATGTAAGGTAGTACTGCTACAGTTCTGTACTGCGGCTGGTCTGGGCTTGTTAATTTTTTGAACCTTTAGCAATGAGGGCTGAGGCCTGGTGCGTCTTTACAGGTGTAAGTAAGCACCTGGCTTTGGCCCTCTCCTTTCTCACGGTTGTCCCTCTTCTTCTTTGCAGAAGGTTAACAAGACCACACCTTCCAAAAAGACAAACCAGCAGCAAACCAGAGCAGTATATGACACGCGCGCCATCCAGTCTACACCATTGCCTGATGAAGATTATTTGCAGTCGAAACGTAGCAGTTCTTCTACAAATGACTTTAATCGTCAACTAGAGAAAAAAGTATTATTTATCACTTGTAATTTTTCCTTGCTACTTGAAATGTCTTAGTTAATTCTGACAATAGTTATACACTTATACTTATTACAACGTTTATACTCTACCTCTCTCTTGCTTTGTTGGTTCATTTTTCCTTAGAATTTCTTGATTATTATGAAAGAGAGAAACGTCCTATAATTAATATGTTTACCATCTAGAACACAAATTATATACCCGATAAAGCTGTATAAGAAGGGGATGAGCTTTCTCCTACAATGATTAGAATACAGTTAATATTTAATTTTAGAATATTTTAAATTACCCAGTGCTTCTTCTTTGGTCAAGGCATCTGATCTGTGTTAGAAATTAGAATGGATTAGTATGCTTTCAAAGTCAAAATAACTCAAATTATATTTTTTTGCTGAGAAGGGTCTGGGTACAAGAATGCAAAACAAGTATGCTTCTATTTATATTTTTTTCTCACATACATTGCTTGTAACATTATTGCTTGCTAACTTTCAGGATGGCCCCCATCTTTGGCTATATAGTGTGCTGCAGATTACATTTATTGTACTTACAAATAGYTAAAGTCTATTGTTGACACCAATTGTTCAGGGCTCTAAAAAATATTAAAAAATCAGAATCTAGGTCAGGGCATGACTAGCTAAATGCTTTTTTTTTTCAAAACAATCCTCAAATCAAGGGAATCAAATAACTTTTATTCACATGTGTTGCCATACATGATCCAGAGACCCCCTGCAGAGGTTAGATGTGAGTACATTGCTGCTATATGCCACCCTTCATATTTATTTTCTTTATTTTATAAATTTTCAATTAAATATCTTAGCATTCAAGCTTTGGAGACTTAGAAGCACTAATATTCTAAGTCAGTATTATTTCGTTGCCTTTGGAATCTTGATGTTTCAAAAGATGCAATTGTTACAAATTATTAATAGAAAGGAAAACTTTATCATTATTAAACAGCTAGTTACCATATCTGTAAGGAGCTTCCACACAGGCTGCAAAAAAAACCAGAAATAGATCCTTGTTAGCAAAATTAAGAAGACTATGCAAATAGGGCTGACACCGGCCAAGGACTTCAATATTCTTCATTTTCTGATTATAGTCAATGAATTCTAATATTGTTCTATTAATTACCTTTCCTTCCATTCTTCCCCATAAATCCCATAAAGCATTGATGACTCCAGCTAAAGCAAGATGGATGACACCTTTTTCTGGACCAAGCTATAAGAAAAACAATCATATAATATAATTACCTCTGGTCTGCACAACTCATCATAAGCACAATCAAATCAAGCTATGATCACTCAAGCTCATGTATAATAAATAATCATATAATATAACAGTAGGGGATCCAGCTAGGGGGGGGGGGGGGGGCCCCCCCCCCCCCCCCCCCCCCCAACCTGAGAGAAGCTGACATTTTAAGATTTAATATCACATATTAAAATGCTGCTTGTGTAGAAATAACCCTAGAAACTAGAATTTTCTTGTTTACTGATGCCATTACTCATTATGACGTCATAAGCCAAATAAGTGCACCCCCCCTCGAAAAAATCCATCCGCCCCTGTACAATTATCTCTGGTCTGCACTGCTCATCATTAAGCACAATTAAATCAAGCTATCACTGAAGCCATTGTATGAAAAAAATGCAGGATGTTTTAAAAAGGTAAAACTTTTTATTCAGATGCAAACTGTGGCTCTATGATCTAGAATTATATCTCACTGTTTACCAAAATCCTATTGATAAATACTTCAGGAAGGCATGTAAGGGTCACCTATATAATATTTCCCCCTTCAAGACTGAGACCTTTGATTCTTAATTCATTCTTTAATCAAATTATCATTCTCTAAACGAATCATGCAATTACACATAATTTGTGAAAGGATCTCTCAGTACCTCATGTGTCATGATAATAGCCATGCTAATTGCAGCATGTGGTATTGTGAAGCTATATTAGGCTCAAGGTTATATTAATCCAATTATTACCCATCTTAGTTGTTCTTCATGTACAAGTTCTCTCCAAAATGACCCAAAATCAGCAAAAATATCCTCAACACATTTTCCTTTTATCATTTGCCCATAAAGCTTTGCAGCACTTGTAACTATAAAACATGATGGATTTGAAAAGAAAAAACATGTTCATTGGCATTTATGATAATTATATATGACAAATCTCTCCTTAGGTCAAAAGAAGAAATGGTTGTAAATATTTGGTAGATGTACCTAGTATTAACAAAGGAAGAAAATATATATACGGTAAAATAGATTTTTATATGATTATGAATACTGTAGAATCAACATGGCCACAATATAATGCAATATGCAAACAACCCTATATCAAGTATAACAACATTATAGTGTGGTTTCCATACAAGTGGGTTAATGATACAGCAAATTCATAGCCATACTTTAACCTAACTGTATCTTCCTAACCTTATTACTGTAACTGTGTGTAATGATTGGATGAATTACTTTTAATTAGTACTTCTCTGACGAAAATCGCTCAAACTTGGATTCAGCGGAAACTTCCTAAGAATACTCTTTAAAGGTCCAATAATCACTGTATGAAGTGTTTTCTCAATATTCAGGACGAAAGTATGATATTTTTACGATTATTTTTTGAAGTCTGTGACATCATACACTCAACATCAAACATTGCTACATATATTTCTTTGTATATAAATCCTTAATTTATTTTATTCCTATAAAGCCCAAAGTCTGGGTGGCTAATGTGCTTATTTCACATTACTTGTGACTATAATTTATATTTTGAGGTGTTTGGGTATTTCTTTCTCCCTTTACTACTGATATTTTGATCATAAACTACAAAGAAATGTATGGAGCAATGTTCGATGTTGTTTGGACCCCGACGAAGGACTAACGTCCGAAACGTCAGTTCCTATTTTCACTACGGTGTAAAACTTATCAATCTACGATAACTGTTTCATTAGAAACACCGACGCAGTCCACGCTAGTGTTTACTAGCCATCATCTAGACGTTGAGAGCATGACATCACAGACTCCAAAAAATAATCTGAATCCAAGTTTGAGCGATTTTCGTCAGAGTAGCACTTTAAAGATAAAAGGGAAGCCATTTCGCTGTCATGGTATGTAATTGTATCCCTCTTGAAATGAGAGTTATGTCATCTTCACCATTATCATTGTACAGTGTACACCTGCAGGTCTACCTATACTGTAAGTCTGAGTAACCTATGTTTCCCACTCAAATGAAAACAGCTCTATTTACCCAGTTCATTCCCCCGTCCCACTGTAAATGTCAGGCCATATCCTTGTAATCCATCAGGTCTATCAGTTTTCAGTACAATGTAAACAGCAGAGTAATCTGGTGCCTTGTGCTGTTTAATAATGAATGGATATGATATATAATAGTTAGTATGTTAGACTGCGAGCTAAGTCCCTCTATTTCCCTTGGTCACTGTCACTGTCTGTCTGTCTGTCCGTGTTGATTGGTCGAGGAAGATTGGTTACGAGTCAAAGCCCTCCCCAGCCCTCTTCCCTAGGGACTTTTGACTCATAACCAATCTTCCTCGACCAATGGACATGGACAGACAGATGGACAGTGACCAAGAGAATAGAGGGACTTAGCTCTCAGTCTATTAGTATGTTTGCCCCTGGAATAACAGGTATTGTTAACAGGGAGCATTTTGTAAAATAATCATGCAATCTTACTCTTGCCCAATTAGGATAGAGATGTGCCGCTGACCCTGTTCCAGAGTAAAATCATTGAAATTCATAGCCTGTAGTAAGATTCATATAACAAACCCCCGTTGTTCCGGTTCTTGCAAAAACAGTTACCCTGTTCCAGAGAGAGTGCATGATTTCATATACCCTGTTCCAGAGATTGAGTGTAATTTCATATGCCCTATCCCTAAAAAACCATACCCTATTAGAGGTTACCCCCTAATAGCCCTCCACCCTCCCCACCCCCTCCTCCCCCTTCCCTTAATTTAGGTAAATTCTTGTGGAGTCTTTTGATCAATGGTTCATGGACATGAGACAAAAATTAAAGCAAATAAAATAAACAAAATTGAGCAAAGCTCTTATTCTACTTTGAACTTACCCAATCGGCAAATGAGATATCACGTGTGAATGAAAATATGGAGATTTTTAGAACAACTTACCACAGCGTCCGATCCATGTAGCTCGAGGGATGTCGGGAATCTGATATCCCGAGCCGTTACTTCAATTATTTTCATTTCTATTCTGCGAAATCCTAAATAACTCAAGCAGAAATATTTGAAGACTGAAAGCAAACTTCGTTTGGGTTTTTTGTTTTCCGTGACATCCGCGTGACAGGTCACGCGACATCCTGACAGAGTAGGACTAGGTCTTACAAAACCGCTGGTTGCTATGCTTGCGGTCCTGTAAATATAAAAAGTTGCGGGAAGACTAAGCAAAATGGCTGGCCAAATGAATGGATAAGTTGATCTTGTCGTCGCTCTTTTAATTAAATAGGCATTAGCTTTGAACATGTTAATAGTCAATATTACTATGCATTGAATGATCGAAGCGTGATAAAGTCCTAACACCTGTCAAAGGAGTTTATTTTACCCTGCGTCTTGCCCTCGCAGTCTGGATGACTGGTAGATGTGAGATAGTATGATTGAAGCTTTCAACCAAGTATTGATTTTGAACAGTGCAATGTTATAATATTAATAAAAATGGATCTAGATGATACTCAGGCTTTGGATTTGGACGAATATGATGAAACAGAAGAAGAACAAGAGGTGAAGAGGAACAGAAAGCAGGTAAAAACATATCAAAGATAACAAATATAATATTCATTGGGAACTATGAGCCGTTCAGTCAGACTGTCATGATCAGCCGTCTTAAAGTATGCGTGTGCAAAATCTTGCTTGAACGATGGCTAATGATTTCTGTTGGCATACTAGTTATAATATTGATCCTGGTTGGACCCTTGAGTACATATCGATACTTGAGCTTTACATACATGTAATGTCACAGAGGAGACATGGAAATAACTATTCTTCGTTTGCAATAGACGTCATAGCCGCCATGTTGGAAGAATTTGACAAAAGATTTTTCAATGAATTCTTTTGTTATATCTTCCAACATGGCAGACATTCCTTTTGTTATTGTGCTCTCTTGGGATTGATTGCAAACTGAGAATAGAATACCCCGCCAAATGAAAGCCATTTCTAAGGAATGTGCGTGGCCTACTTGGTGTTTAATTCTTCATATGAATTCTCAGTGTATTTTTCATCACGTCTCTCAGTCTACGCAGCCAAATCAGCCTACGTGCCTGCACAGCCTATATGCCTACTCAGCCAACGCGCCTACAAACCTTTGTTTATTCCTACAAAGCCTTCCCCAATCCTAACCCTAAACCTAACCCCAAGGTACTCAATTATTTATTCCTACAATGAATGCGTAGGCACGTAGGCAGCCCACTATAATACTTTTCCTTGCAGGGTATTCTATATTTGTACTAGGGACATACAGAAGAACTATAAATGAAACTCTATCTAGAGTACAATTAACAAATGCACCTTATAGCGAACTTGTGGGAAAAAAAGATTTTGAGTTTTTTTTATGGCGTATAGTATGCAGTTTGAAAATCCTCAGTGTTTCCATTTTTCCTAAGCAACTACTGAGTAAGTAAGTAAGTGGGTGAGTGAGTAAGCCTGGAAAGCCAAGACTATAAACCAAAGATCACAATGAATATGAAAAAAATGATGTCAGACGTTTCTATGACAACATCAGAACCCTTGTTATGCCATTGAAAATGTTCATTTAAAAAAACCAATGGTGAAATTTTTAAAAACCGGAATATTTAAACTTTGTATTGTGATTTTCTTCCTTTCGAAAATAGAAAAAAGCTTGTAAGAGGGAATTCGTAAAAATCAATATAATTTGTTTGGAATAGTTCCCTCTTACAGAACTTTTAAAATTTTTCCTTAAGTTTTCGAAAACATAAACCAAAGCCATATGCAAAATTTGAAGAAATTTCACCACAGAGGTTTTTTTTTTTCAGTTTAAATATTACAATTTTTTAGGGCAAAATTTTCCTTTTGCAAGTTCTATGTCATCAGATCTACATAGAGCATGTGTGCATTCAAGAATAACTGCCTGCAAAAAAGTCCCCTTACAGGTGTATCTCAAAACTGACACCACTTATCGATCATGAACAACCTGATGTTGCTCAGGAGGCCTCAATGCATGCACAATATTCTGGTGTCAACCGTTACTGTTGTGTGGGTTTGATTTCCAGCCTCAGCTCCCAGACTAATAAAATGTTTCATTTTTTTAAGGTTGGCCAACTGAAGGTTTTTAGAACTGGAGATTTCGAAGAGAAAATTTATGATATTTTTGAAGGTAGGAAGAGGATGAAATACATATAAAGATGATGAAGACAATTTAGACATGAGATTTTTACAATTATTAGAGGGTATTCCTGCTATGACAGCGTAACAATAAAGTCTGTCTACCAATGACTAGCTAATTGAAAGGCAAAGGGATTGATATGTAATATATTTTTTATTTTAAGGAGAGAATTTTATAGGTCGAGATGAAAGGACTGATGTTTACATTCCAAGAAAGGTACTGTATGTATATAATTTTACTTCATTTGCACTGTAGAAGTTAATGTCATGGTTCATAAGCTGGTTCTGATATGTGCATTTTTTTCTCTTTTTAAAACCATCATGTTTTTTTACCAGTCACTCTCCAAAACACATGCGTGTATTGAAGTCTCTGAGGGTCTTCACCTTGTCTATGATGATAACAGCAAAAACAGAACAAGACGAGATAAGGTACAGCAGCAACTTCTGTAAATTGAATGAATGTTTATTCAAAATACATCAATCTGTATTCATAATTAATATTTTATTTTTCAAAGATGATACTGAAACCTCAAGTGAGATATGAGCTGCACCATGGTGACATGCTGACTCTTGCTGATACAAAATGCCAGTATTTCAAAGGAAAAATGGAACAGGTACTGCAGTTACTGGAATAACAGTATTAAATATTGCTCCTGCATGTGTACATTCTGTATGAATGAACTACACCTTTATTTATTTATGGGGTAATATTCAGGACTCAGTTGTATGAAGGGTGAATAGCACTATTTACTGGATAAGGATTTATCCATGAGGGATTGCACTATTCACCCTTTGTACAACTGGTTCCAGGATAATATCCCTTCATTGGTAAAGGGACACATGCACAAGGAGAGCCCCCTGTAAAATTAATATTATTGTATTTTATCTACTGTGTGCTTTTTTTAAGATGCAATTGCCATAGGGAAAGTTTCTGAAAATAACAAACAGAAAATATTATCTTAATACTAAAAGATTAGGTAATCATATGGTGATGAATGAAATTAGGGATAAATTTCACATGTTCGTCAAATTGCAGTAATTTCCAAGGCTTCCTGGACGAGAGAAATTACACAGATTTCCTTAAAGAGGGAATTTATTCCTAATTTCACGAGTAACCATTTGATTGCCAATGAATATTATAAAGGATGAATTACAGCAGAAAATTCTGGCAGTCATAATCAGTCATAATTTGATTTCAAATTTGAGCCTTATCGATGAAGATAAAAAATACAGCTTTATTTCTGCCACGACATTAGTGCTTTTAGTCATAGATTAAACATGCATTTTTCTTTTGAGAAATACAAAATGTTTAGAGTGAACTGCCAACTCCCTGATGAATATTAATGAGGTGCCAAGTTTTATAAGTCTTTATTGCCTTTTCGTTTCCTTCGTGCCATTCCCCTCAGAAAGCCAATGTAACCAGAAGTGCACTATTTGAATCCGAGTTTGCCATGAAAAAAAAGTTGGTGAGGGAAACTTTCAGCAAGTCTAGTCAGGAATTCATTCCATGACCTCTTGCACATCAGAGTGATTGTCTATTAACTAAGCTATATAAGGCATATCTTAAAAGAAGTGATTGGTAATCTTATTATATTTTACTGTAGGATAATGAGGACAATGATACAGGATCAGAGACAGGATCTGAGTCTATGCTACCAGTAGGATCTGCAATACATGTTAGTAAGGGTACCAGTAAAGAAAAAGATGTATTTGCTGCTGACACTGACTCTGAAACAGATGATGAAAAGAATCCTGTCAATATAAAGAAGCCTGCCATGTACAGCTCTGATGAAAAGTTGCCCCAAATTGATGGTTAGTTTATGCCTGGATTATCTTTGCTCCCTTCATTATCCTATTGATTTTTATGTCAAAATTATTGCCAATTTTGGCCAAGCATTGCCATCTGTTGAACAGCCATTTTAAGTTTGGCTTAAAATAAAAACAACAAATGTTATAATTTTTTTCTTTATTTAACTGAAAAACAAACAGTGGGTGCTGTTTGACAATAGGTACTTTACATATACATTGTATATGCATCTATTGATGATGGCTAAGAGTATTGCCAGTCAGGAGACTAAATTCATAATAATGCTTTTTGTCATTAAACATTGCTTGCATATTATCATTCATTTGCATTAATATTTGTTCTTGCAACCAACAGCTATAGAGAACAGTGAGCAACCCAAACCTATAGTTCCTGCCTTTATGTATGATTCCAGTGATGATGATGATCATGGTGATGATAAGCATTGTACAAAATCATCTAATGATATAAAAACACACGCTGATGTGAGTGCAGATAGTGAAACATTGGCATTTGGCTTGATTAGTCCAGATGATTTGCCAATAATCAGGTATGTTTGATTACTGTGGATTAACAGTCCACATTATCCTATGGGAAGCATGTGTGGCGTAGTGGTGAGAGCATTCGCCTCTCACCAATGCGACCCGGGTTCAAGTCCCGCTGAGCTCGGTGTCRTATGTGAGTAGAGTTGTTKGTTGGTTCTCTCCTGTGCTTYGAGGRTTTTCCGGGTTCTCCGGCTTTCCTCCCTCCGCAAAAATCAACTCCCAAATTCCCACTGGAATTACAGTGGATGAATAGCTACTCTGTCGAAATGCCACTGCTAAATCCCATTTATTTATTTTATTTATTTATATTAATATTAAGTACTATATATATATTGTTTTTTGAATTCTGCAACAATTTCCTATTTCTCAAGATCATAACCAAAGTTTGTGCTTCTCATTTTCCTTTCTATTTTGATTCAGTCTATTTGGCTTTTTCAACTTTATTTATTTGTCATTTTTTCATCAATCCATCTATCCTTACACACATTAACATACTCATTTATTCATACATTTTATTCATCCTGTCATTCATTTATTCATCCATTCATTCATTTTATTCTCAGGCCAAATTCAAAGAAAGTGCCTGAAGTAGAAAACACTCCATTGACCCTTGTCTATAGCCCAGACACACAAGACAGAACCCCTGACCATCCCAGCATTTTGCCTAAAGGTAAAGAAGAGGGCAGTTCATGTCCACCCACTTTGATCTATGGAAGTGAGTCCCCCTATCAAGAAAAGAATCCAGTAAAAGAAAAAGAAGGGTCTAGTCAACCTGAGTATTCAAACAAAAGAGATTTTGTAAAGATGAGTACTGATGAACCTGATACACCAGACAAGATGCACGTTAAAACAGAAATTGCAAGCTGTGCTGAAACATTGCCAGTTCAAGAGATAGAATCCCTAGAAGAAACCCCTGTAAGAGATGTTGAGCCAACTATGTTACATGGAGCTGGCAGCTTGGAAGAAACTCCATTGAAAGACATGCCAAAACTTGGAGAAACACCAAGTGAATTCAATGTATATTTACCTGAAACTCAAGGGTTTTCCCCAGGCAATGAAGAAACATCATTTTGTGAGCCAACACAGGCTTATTTACAAGAGTCACCTGTTGATACTCCTAAAGAAACTCCTGGGGAAATGGTCAGTGATGTAACCAGTATACCAGACAGCCAGGAAGAGGAAGGAGAGGAAGAAGAGGTGAAAAAAACATTATCCTATGATGATGATACTGCTACTCAGGCCTATACATGGGATAATAGTGATGCTACTGGTAAGTTTATGATCTTATCTCAGTCTCTGCCTTCCCCAGACACATGAAAGCGTTGTTTTTGTAAAGAGAATATTTCCGTCATCGCTGTAAAATATCCAAATTACTGAAGGAAAGAGTAATTATTACTGAATGCTTGAAGGGTTTATAAATTATCTTTTGCTCTATCCCTAGGAGTAAATTGTCTCCATACACTTTCTACCCACCC